CTTTAATTAGACTTAGAGCAAAACTCATCTTAATGCAAGGTAGTTTGATTAAAAACAACATTTTATCATTTCTTTAAAATGTACCAAATCAGGTTCTTTTTTTTTTTTTGGAAAACTTCCAGAGAGAAGCAGCTGCTAACAACGCCCTGCTGTATCTCCTCACAGTTTTGATTAAGAGCAAAGATTGACTTTATTTTATTTATTGCTCAGCAATTTGTAAAATAGCTTGTATTCTGATCACACCACGGTTTTATAATTATTGGTTTTGTTATAATCATGCATTTGTTCCTGATTTCTGGTCTCTAAATAATCTTCTTTTCTAACCGTAATGAAGTTTATTGAGACGGAGGCAGGACCTCAAACGAAAGCTTAACAATTTGCCTTCGTTCGTGAAAAACAAACCGGTTTGGGGAAGAGCCAAAGCAATTAACAGAAACCAACCTATCTCCAAAATCGCCAGGAAACCAGCCAGATTCCTGCCTGACTGGAGTGGGGCCTTTCGTAAAACCTGGATTAACCTGGCCCCCAAAAAACAGCTTTTTCTCATGGCCTCGTTCCCGTAGGAGTCAGATGCCCGTGGAAAACACAAATTGAATCTGCCAAGTTGACTGACTGGGACAAAAGGACCAAATCCTTCAGGGATAGTCCTAAAATGGCGGAAACAAGGTTAGTGGTGCACGCGAAGAACCTATTCCCACAAGTGGAACAGAGGGAGGAACGTTATTCAGCATCTCAAGGACAGCCGGAAATTAAATGTGGGGTCCTCGGAGCTCTCTTGAGCTTGGCTGTTTTTCTTGTGGACATTTTGCCACCAACCTTGGTAGCATCATCAGTGCTAGAAGGGAAGGAGGCGTGTTTTCTGTTTATGTAGTAGTGCGGTGATGAGGGCGAACCTATGGCACGCGAGCCCCAGCCAAACTTACCTGCACTGCACATGCGTGTGCCTCCCAGCTGATTTTCGGCCTGTTTGAGGCCGTTTTCGGGAGGCTCGAGGGAAGCCAGGAGGCTGAAAAACGGGCCTTCCGAAAATACCAGAAGGACCAAAACAGGCCCATTTTCAGCCTCCTGAGGCTGCAGAGGCTCTCCTTGAACCTCTGGGACGGCGAAAACAGCTTCAAACAGGCTAAAAATGAGCTGGGAGGCGCATGCATGCGCAGTGCAGGTAAGGGGGCGGGGGTGTTGCGCGCGCATGCACGGGGACAGGGGGCATGGCATTGTGGGTGCTGGCACGCGCGAATGCATTATCGTGCGTGCATAAGGTTTTGGCACACCACAACAAAAAGGTTCCAACATCACTATACTAGTAGTTTGTCCTGTCAATGTTTGGGAGGGTGTTCTTGGTGGTTTCTTGATTAAGCTGTTATTTACTGTTTGTCTGAGAACCAAAAACATCCAAAAAGGGATCAAAAAGACCAGAACACATCCTACTTAACCCCCAGATAAGCCGGAATTAACACCAGAATTAAAACTAGACCAACAATCAAGAAGTAAGCAATACTCCAATCAAGGAACTGCCACCTCAGACAAACAACCAAACCAGTGGTGGGATTCAAAAAATTTTTTTTACCACTGGTTCTGTGGGTGTGGCTTGGTGAGTATGCTTTGCACGTGCGCAGAGGGTTTGCTACTGACTTCCTCCTGCAATCCTGTACTCTCCCTGTGTGTACAACAGCTGACGCGTGGCAATCCGCTGTACCGCGCGAAGTAGCTGAGCTTCAAAACCAGGAAATAAAGGTCAAACTAAAGAGTTGGAAGAGAACCGGTTCGCTCACAGATGATCCTTGGAGCTACCGGTTCAAGTGAACCGGGGCGAACCGGTAGAATATGACCCTGAACCAAACGGCCGACTCAAGGAAGCAACATCCAACTCAAGGAACCACCCAAGAAGAAAACGGCAATCCCGCCAACAGTGACAAAGCAATTCACTTGTATATAAGCAGAGAGCAAAACCCCACTCCCTTCTAACACTGAGGATGTTACCTAGTTGGGTCATGAAACGTCTGCAAAGAAACTACAAAGCTCAGAGAGCACCAAGGACTCCATAGTCATTCTTGTTGTCGTCCTCCTCCTCTTCTCTGCACATACCCCGCTCCCTTCTAACACTGATGATGTTACCTAGTTGGGTCATGAAACGTCTGCAAGGAAACTACAAGGCTCAGAGACCATCAAGTGCCCTACTGTTCTTTTCCTCCTCCTCCTCCTCCTCTCCACAAACTCCACTCCCTTCTAACATTGATGATGTTACCTAGTTGGGTCATGAAACGTCTCCAAGAAAACCACCACACTCAGAGAACACCAAGGGCCGCACAGTTCAACTCTGAGCTACAAATATTCATTTGTATCGATGAAACACCTGTGCTGATTTGACGTCCTTCCCAAATTTGCTAGTTCAGAAAACGCCTGGGTGTATTTCGAGATGGAAGAGTACACCTGCCATTGGTTGGGTTTATTGATTTCATGCATGGGGTTTTGCCAGGTATTATGGATTAAGGCTGCGCGCCTTAATCATTATGTGTGTGTCTGTTCTACAGCACAGAACATTTTTCCCATGAAAAGAATGCCGGCAGTTACATTAAGCTTCTGCACCGTATCTTAAATCCTATTACACAGGGGTTTTGCAGCCCAATATCTTTGGATTCGCCAACAGACAGGAGCCTGCTATCCATATTATTTCCCATTTTTTTTGTATGTCTCTGTCTTTCTTTCTGTCTCTCTCCCTTTGTCTCTGTCTCTGTCTCTCTCTCTCTCTGTGTCTCTTTCTCTCTCTGTGTGTCTCTTTTAAACCACAGCCAATTTCAGCTGCCAAAGGACCGACCCGTGGGAAGGGTTTTCTTTTAAAACCAGATCTCTCAGATCTGCAAACAGCGGATGATCCGCTGAACAGCAATGGCTCTTAATTATGCACATTCTCGGCTATAGATTTGAAACACGGGCAGGGTGTTGCGTTTCATGGGCCCGCTTCTGAACCATGCCAGGCGACGGTGGTGGGTAGGAGAGGGAAGATAATACTCCGTATAATGACAGGTTGTCGCTTTTTCTTCAATTTTTAGCACTGGCAACAAAACTGTCGCGACACAGAAGAATGATGGGAAGATCCGGGGGTCTTTTGCTGAGATCTCCTGCTGGATGAAAAACGTACAGTCTCATTCTCCGCGTCTTCGTTATTCCAGTCTATTCGCTCATAGATTTGCCATTTTCTACTCAAGGGTGGCAATTAAGTCACTATGAGCTTCAAATACTGTACATTACAACCAGTTTTGTGTGTGTGTGTGTGTGTGAGAGAGAGAGAGAGAGAGAGAGAGAGAGAGAGTTTCTTCTGGCTGTCAGCTAGCTGGTTTTCATTCAACCGGACGGAAAAGCAAAGCCAACAATCGCTTCCTGGGCCATTGGCAACTGGGCTTTCTGGTTTCTCTTTGAAGGCGTTTCGCTTCTCATCCAAGAAGGTTCTTCAGCTCTGACTGGATGGGGGGGAATGGAAGGATTGACACTCCTTGCAGACTGCTGGTCATTTGCATCCTTTTAGCGGGT